TTCATCATCGGACTTCCCAAAGTCGATGGATGCGGTTGCATCATGGTTGTGGTGGACAGGTTCTCGAATATGGAGTGTTCATTCCTGGGCCAAAAGACTTGACGGCAAAGGATGTGGCACGTCTATTCTTCAAGAACGTGGTCAAGTATTGGGGCATTCCTAGCAACATTGTGAGCGACAGAGATAGGCGCTTCACGGGCAGGTTTTGGCGAGAGTTGTTCAAGATCATGGGCTCAGACTTGAACTTCTCGACGGAGTTTCATCCTCAAAGCGACGGACAGACGGAGTGGGTGAATGCCTTGTTGGAGGTGTACTTGCGGCACTACGTGAGTGCAAACCTACGAGGTTGGGTGAAGTTGATGGATACGGAACAATTCTCCTACAACTTGCACCGCAGCGAGTCGACCAACACGAGTACATTTGAGTTGGCGACGGGGCAGCAACCTTTGACACCTACGACGGTGGCAACGGGGTATAGAGGCAACAGTCCGGCAGCCTACAAGTTCGCTAAAGGCTGGCACGAGAAGATGGAGATGGCCAAGTCTTACTTAGCCCGCGCTAGCAAGAAGATGAAGAAATGGGCGGACAAGAAGAGGCGGCACTTGGAGTTTGAAGAGGGAGACATGATGATGGTGAAGTTCTACCCTCATCGCTTCAAGCATCTCAAGAACGTGCACAAGGGACTGCTTCGCCGCTATGAAGAGTCATTCCCCATCGTGAAGAGGATTGGCAAGGTGGCGTACAAGGTGGAGGTGCCGTCGCACTTAGAGATCCATCCAGTCTTTCATGTGAGCCAACTCAAGGCTTTCCACGAAGACAAGGAGGACGAGCAGCGAAGAGAGTCGCAGCGCGCACCAACACTCATCACCAAGACACACGACCATGAAGTTGAAGAAATCATGGCGCATCGTGTCATTCCTCGTCGTGGCGTACATCCAAGCTTTGTGGAGTACTTGTTCAAGTGGCGCAACCTTCCGGAGAGTGAAGCAACTTGGGAGAAACAGCTCACGCTTTGGAAGAACAAGGACTTGATTGAGGCATTCCATCAAGAGGACGAGACGAGGGCGTCGCGAGCATAGGTGGGGGAGGATGTCACATGTGGCAGATGACATGGCGCCAACAAGGTGACAACATGGCGACCGCACATGTGGCATGTATGGAAGACTAGTAGCATAGAGATGCTCCTAGGATTCTCCACCTTAATAGAGAGCTTAATGGTGCACTTATGAGTCACATAATGGGTGGCATTTATAGAGTGCATAATGGGGGGACTTAATGGGGTGTATTGATGTAGAGGGACATTATGAGGGGCATTGATGCCTTGTATGAGGAGATGCCTATATAAGGAGCCATCTCCCTCACTTGTAACTCGTTCCATCATTTTTTAGAGTAATACACACTAGAGAGTTCTCCCACTTCTTTGTCTTTGCTTCCTTGTTCTTTGCTTGCTTGTGAGTTTGAGAGAAGGCTGCCAAGCGCTCTAACGGAATTGAGAGCTAGGGCCGCACGATCAAGAGTAAGGTCATAACAGTACCAACTGCAAACTATATGGTATCTTCTTCGTTTTTAATTCGTTTTTGAAAACGTTTGCACAGAAGGGACGAGTTCATCATGATCTATTGGATCTACAAATTTCTGGGTGAACAAATTACAGGACCAAAAAATATCACACAATACCACTCTGGTACGGGGTGGTATGTTGTGGTACACAATGTTAAAAGTCGTAAATGACAGTTAATATAATTCTATTATCATTTATTCAACCATCCTACAGTCTTGGTTTGTTCATACCACCATGGTACGCTTTTCAAACCATATGTATGCTCTTATTTCAATACCAGTGCATACCATATGGTATAGACTGGTAAAAAATGTCTTAATTTTTTTGTTCGAAAAATATATCAAAATGGATATTATTTTGAATAGCACAATTAATCTTATCTAACTGTGCAATAAAAATTAAATTTTGACTTAAAATGAGTGAGAAATCGTCCGTTAAAGATTAAGACGGAGAAAATTAACGGCTTTCCCGGAGAGAAAGGGATGCTAATGTCATGCTCATGTGGAAGGATTACTCATGGTTACTCACCATAAGGTTACTGACCTGACAAATTTTGATTTGGGGACCGTTGCACTATATAAATTAGGCACGTTCTGCCATTTATATAAAAAAGTTATAAGGTAAATTGGAAGATTGTTCATCGCATTATCAAAAACAGTCACGTTTTGATCACTAAATTGGAAGATTGTTCATTGGAGAGGAAAGAAACGTGATGGAGACTAAAGGGAGATCGATGGAGGGATAGGGAGGTGGGGATAGCCAGAATGCTTGCTTGCGGCGGTGGTATTTGAGAGATGTGAGGTCGAGGGGCCAAGGGGAACAGGGAAAGAATAATTTGGGTTGTAGTCGGCTGATCTTTTAGGGTTTATAATTGTGTATATATACTAAGACAAATTAAATTTCAATCATTAAAATTTATAGTAACCAATGGTTTAGCATATATATTATGTTTTTTATTATTTTAAGTGTCTTTTATTTATAATATTATTATTTATAAGGTACCGGTTCTCTAACGGTTTTTTAACTGCCTAATATCGGTTGAGCCACTAAAATGCGAGTCGTTCATATTACTGGGTCATACTCCGGTTCGGTTCTGACATTGATTTTCTATATCTTCAGTCTTCTCTTCTCTAGAAAATTAATATTTCTCTTCCTTTCTCATAGGCCTAAAATATTTTTTCTTTTTCATCATAAAAAATATTCTTTCGCGTTATCCATTCACTTTTTAGTTCCTCAAATTGCGAACTTCAGAAAAAGACCTCCATGAAAAAGAAGAGTATCCTTGAAACTTTTTTCTAGAACTCGCAGTTGCAGGAAATAAGCACCGGTTGAAGGAAGAATAAGAGTATTATTGTAAAAAAAGAAAGAGAAGGAAGAGGAGAAGAAGGATTCTAGACTAGAAAGGAAGTAAAAAATGTATCTGTCTCAGAAGACAGAAGAGAATGAACCATTATTTTTTTTCTAGTTTGATTATTTTTTCAATTATTAGTTTTAATGCTCTAAATTAAATTATAATATTATGATTCATTGTGTGTTGAGTTATCGAAATATCCGAACTTATGTATAATTTCGTTAACTCTAGTGCTAACTTTGATGAAAAATGGCTATTTAATTGTATTTAATTGTAGGGTTATAGGTATAATATGCCCCTCTATTATGTAGTTTTATCAAACATGCCCCTAGACTATTTTTTACATCAAACATGCCCTTGTACTTTGGAAAAATGATCAAACATGCCCTTCTGTTAAAATTTCCATTAAAAAAATCGCCAACCATGGTTGAACCCAGATGTAGATGACCCAACATCGGCAAATGAGAGCGGAAATGTCAGTTTTCTTCCCCATTTTATTTTTCTTGGTCTCGTTAAAGTGAAATTATTAGAGGTATTTGGCTCTACAAAAGAACCCAAAAAATTCTAAAGTGAAATTACCAAAGATATTTTAGACATTTGTGTCGCCCAAACCAAGGTACGACCATGATTGACTTTTTTGGATGAAAATATTAACAGAAGGGCATGTTTGATCATTTTTCTAAAGTACAAGGGCATGTTTGATGTAAAAAATAGTAGAGGGGCATTTTTGATAAAACGACATAGTAGAGGGGCATATTATACCTATAACCCTTAATTGTATGTCAAAAGGTTTGACTATTAAATAGTTTTGATTCTATATTTTTGTTGACGTGTCAAAATGCAACATCCACATCAGCGTCCTTGTCAGTATAGTTTGTCATGTCAGAGTCAACTGACGTTGGATTGGACCAAAAGTTGACAATTTGGCTATTATATTGTTTTTCATTAGGTTTGGCTATTATTTATTTAAGGCAAAATACACTTGCATAGTCTCAACTATCACGTTTGTGACAAATATAGCCACAACTATCGACATACACAAATGTGCAACAACATTTCACGTTTTGCTAGATCAAGTCAATAGACTCTCCACTGGACTATAAACAACTAATGTGCAATAACATTTCACTCAAATACCATTATTATTATTATTATATTTATATAATTAAAAGCACGAGCACTTTTCACTATTCATTAAGAAAAAATAGACTATTTTTTCTCCATGGGTATTGTTCACAATAGGGTTCTATCCCATTCCCATATACCCAATTTTACCATAAGCCATTTTTCCTCCTTTATTGCAATATTATTCATATTATTTGTATTTGCTACAACCACTTCTACGATAAGTCTAAAATTCATAAGCAATTATATGAGTTTTATTCTCTACAACCACTTTAACGATAAGTCTAAAATTCATAAGCAATTATTATTAGACCACATATTATGAAATATTGATGTAACAAAAGTCGATAAAAGTTACTTAAATTTAAAATTCGTCGATGTTACTTACTATAACTTGATTATACTATTAGACCACATATTAAAAAAATAATATGTAAGTTTTCTATAATAATTAAAGACTACGCAAACTTTATGTAGAAATAGTTATTTACAATGTATCACTTAACGAAACGGATGAAGTATGTTCTTCGTAATGATTAAAATATCACGTGAACTTACATATTTATTTTATTTGAATAATTTTGTAAATTATTAGTTGAGCGCGGACCAAAAAACTAGTATAAATTAAATGTTCAATTTATACGTAATTCTTCGAATTTCATATGACTTTATGTGTAAACTACAAAATTCTTCGGGGACTGGCCCCCATGAGAGGTTACATAGCTCCACGCTTGTGTGAGAAAGAGAGAGAGAAAGTGAAGAATCCAAGCAATGTCAAGGAGAACTATTCTAAATCAAGAGCTCAAGATGCAACGCCAGTGATGGAAGAGTGTTTGGCGAGGATGGAGCTAAAGATAGCCGAGCAAATTGACGCAGTTGAGGATTTGAGCCAAGTCCACAAGAAAATAGAAGCGAGCGTCCAATATTTTGAAGGTGAGATTTACATAAGCACATCCAAAGAAATTTAGATTAGAGAACAACATCTCTAGAGAGAGTTTCTTTATTATTATGGACAAACTCAATATTCGGAAATTCCGCACTTTACAATGCCAATCATCTGATTACCAACTAATATTTGTACTTTATGTTAACACACCCTATTTCCATAGCTAAAACGCAATCTGACTACCACGCCAACAGCAGTATACTACCAAAGCAACCCACCACTGTGGTTCTTGGCTTGCTATCTCAAGTAAAGCTCGTTACTAATCAATCAGTTCCTCGATAAGTTTTTGCTCATTGGCCCAATTCTCAGAGCCTAAAATTAAGCAAAGCAGAGGTTTCGTTGCCATTTTTGAAAACATGAGCAGTGTACTCTTCAGCCGATACTTCCCTGTATCTCGGAGGATTATCTTCTGATAGCAACTCTTTCATGGGTTCATACATTCGAGGGTTCGGCGAGAAACCATGAGTGAAAAAGCTGGCCACAGATACTCTAGGCCCGACCTTCTTCGATACCACACGATGCTCCATGCTTACAAACTTGTCATTCGATATCAGCTGAATTCGTAATCACCCACAACCAATCACATAGGAATCAAACAACTCAAATCCTTGCAAACTCTTAAAAGTTTCAAACTCAATCGATCAGGAAAAAACCCTTACCTGGAGCAAGTCACCAATGTTAACCACTAGGCTCCCTGGCAGAGGAGGCACATCGACCCAACAATCTTGATGAAGAACTTGAAGCCCTCCAATCTCATCTTGCAGAAGCACAGTGATGAAGTCATTGTCTTGATGCTTGCTCGCACCCAGGGTCAATTCAGGTTGCGGACAAGCCGGGTAGTAATGGCACAGTACATACAACCCATTCGAACAATCCATTTCTTTCAAATGATTTCGACTCAAGCCCAGCGCCTCAGACAGCAATTCCAGAATCAGATCCCCCAATTTCAGCACTTCCCTAGAGTAATCAATCAGGATCTCCCTGCAGCAAGCGGGCAGCTTTTGGGGCTGGGGAGGATCTGGTGCCATATTGTAGAAGATGGTGTCCCTCCAGTTAGCAAACGGAGACGTGTAGAGATCGAAGTTGCTGTTGTAAACGACCTTCTTGGTTTGGTCCTCGCGCTCGAAGAATTGCTTCTTCTCCTCCACATCCAGCTCGTGAAACCTGCGAACTCCAGCGTTCATCTCGTCCAATACAGTTTGGGGAATCCCGTGGTTGAGCACTTGGAAGAACCCCCAATTCGAAGATGCGTCACTGATTTGGTCGACGATCTGGTTTCGGGTTTCTGGGTCTTGAACTTGATTGGCTGTTACGCCTTGGAGGTCGATGATTGGGAAGGTGAAGTTTTTTGGAGCCGATGGTCTGGTGTCGAGGAGGTGAGGTGGGATGTGGAAGATGCGAGGGAGGTGGGCGATTCCGGCGTCGACTAGACCTTTGACGCCGGCTTTGGTTTCGTCGAAGGATTTCAGTTCGGGGAGTCGGTTGTAGTGAGCAGAGTCGTCATGGAGCTCCGCGGTGGATGCTGCCATCTTTTTTTTTTTTTTTTTTTCCAAGGTGACTAGGCGCGATTGAGAATGGCTGGACTGGGAATTAGGCGATGGGTTCAAACGGCCAATTCTTTGGGCAAAGTAAATCTGTGAGAGGCAGAGAGCAGTCGCCAGTCAACTGTGGAGTTTGTCGGCTTTGATTTGCGTTCAATGTTCATCTGCTCTGACATTTGTTCATTTAGACTTTACTAGTTTGATTTTTTTTTTTTTGTTCGTTAATTTTGTAGTCAATTTGTGAAGTGTTGTACTTTAGAAAAAAAGTTAAAGTTATATGTAGATTGTAACATTTCAGCTCTTTGAGTTTTTCTATTTTAATTATTTTTACCCTAATTAAAAGATTATCCATATATTTTTATGTAAAAAATTCTTGATGAAGCGGGTATTGGGAGGGAACCTAAACCCATACATGCATCATCCCATCCAACATTTTGTTAGTCTCGCTCATAGTTATACATACCCGCCTCAGACCCAATCAATGCGGGAATTTCGCGTGATTACTAAGTCGAGGGAGATCGAGTACGCGCATTGTGGATTTAATTGGCATTCCTAATCAAAGAGGACATTGAGTCCGAAAAGAGTCGTGTATTTAACACTTTAGACAAATTAAACATCGAAAAATTACGGGAGAGATCCATGATACAAGGTACAAGTACAACGGCCACAACCATATGATTGGGTGATGGTTGGTAGGAGTGTTCAAACGGTGTGGTTACCGTGGTAACCGTATTAACAGGTAGTATTTGGGTAATTTGGTTTGGTTAATTTGGATAATTTGGTTTGGTTTGGTTTGGTTAAATTTTCTAGCTTGTTTGGTTTATGTGGTTTGGTTTGGTTTCAGACCGATCAAACCAAATTAACTAGTTAAGTAATTAGCTATAGATCAAATATATTATATGCACATATTTAATACTTTGCATAACCACTCAAGAGTCAAATGTAAGATAATTATATTAGTTACATGTATATATGTTAAGTGTTAACTATAATTTTGGATGATTGTTATGTATTATTTATTATATAAATTGCGAATTGATGCACTAACCGGAAATTTTTCTAACTTAATAATACTGTGATTGTATATTGGTTGATTTGGTTGTTGTATTAGTTTGGACTGTTTGTTTATGATATTTTATTCCATGATTAACAGAATTTAGGCTTATTTAATTTGGTAATTAACATGGTAACCATTTGAACACCCCTAATAGTCAGCTTGAAAATATCATTTATGGAGAAATTCCGAATTAATGTATACAGGCGAACTAATACCGTTGCAACAATAAAACAATATCAATCCATTAAGAACACTACCAATGCATAAAACACCAATACCATTCGAAAAATACAAACACTACCATTTCACAAAACACCAATACCATTGCAGATTTATCAATATCAATACATGCAAATCAATACAATTACACATGATAATCAATAGCAATGCAAAAAAGAAGAAAAGAAAGAGAAACAGTACTAATGTGAAAAACACTACCACTACAGAAAAAGAACACTACCATTTCACTAAAAAGCAATACGCTTACATGATAATCAATACCAATGCGAAAAAACATTGTCTTCACGAAAAAATCACTACAAATGCGGGAAAAATCAGATCTATGGTTTTTATTCATTCCTCATTTTCCAGCCACAACTAGGGATGGAAGTTTGGTACCGATATTTGGGATATACCGAATATCGTACCGAATTTGTTTATATTTGGTATTACTGAATACACGTATTATTTCTTGGGATTGAGATTGCGATTTAATTTCAATTGTAATTCGGTATTAGGGATTACGGGGTTGGGATCGATATATGCCGAAATACCGATCAATACCGAAATATAAGCTAGTGTGTAGTTTATCCTATCAACTAGACTCTCTCATCCACTACTACACGACCCTCAACCACCAAGAGTGTCATTTAGTTATACATAGATCATTCCATTTTTGTTTCACAACTCAGAAGTCCCATCCAACTCAATTTTGATTTTCCAATTAATGTCACTCTCATTTCTCGCCTAATCACTTGTTATTTTCATAACACAAAAAGAAAATACTAGTATTAGTCGTCTCTCAGTCTCCAATTCATCAAATTAAAGATTACAAATGACAATAACTTGAGATGTCACCTCTTCTTCATTCTCCTTATCCATATCCTAGCTATAGGCAAACTCAAGACTCTTTGCTCTAAATTAAACAACCAAATCTAATTTATATATTTAATTATTTATTTTAAATATAATTAATTTCGTATTCGATAATACCGATTGGGATACCGAAGTACCGATTGGGATATCGGAATATTTAGGGATTGGGATTGGGTTACCGAAATTATTTAGGGATTGAGATTGGGATTGACTTTCGGGTGTATTTCGGTATTCGAGATTTCGATATTTGGTATTGGGATACCGATACCGTATCGATTTCCACCCCTAGCCACAGCCGTCTCCTAGAGAGAGAGAGAGAGAGAGAGAGAGAGAGAGAGAGAGAGAGAGAGAGAGGGCAGCGGGAGGGTGCCCGCAGCGGTATGCGAAGGTAGCCGGAGTGGAGGGTGGCCGCCGTCAGTGGGAGGTTGGCCGAGGGAGGCCGGCTTTAGGAGGATGGCCGCCAGCGGAAGAATGGAACCGCCAACAGGAGAGGTATTGACGGCAATAGAGAATGGGATTGGAATATGGTTTAGATATATAATATATAGAAATTACTTTTTTTAAGGATAAAAATCAGGTGTGGTATTTTTTATTCTCAAAATTACCCTTAATCTAATCTTCACCAACAATTAAAATTAGGATGAAATAAAGATAATAAGGAGTGTAGATTATAGTAGCCACAATAATTACTCAATTTGAGTAATCACCCTAACTAGGGTGGAAATCGGTACGGTATCAGACTTAGGGCTGCAAACGAGCCAAGCGAGTCGAGTTTTTGTTTAGCTTGAGCTCGGCTCGTTTATAAATTTTTCAGCTCGAGCTCGGCCTCGAATTTTGATCATGCAGCTCGAGCTCGACTTGATTAAAAATAATCCAGCTCGTGCTCGGCTCGATAAAGCTCGATAAATGCTCATTAACACAGCTTGTCAAGCTGAGCACAAGCTCGGCTCAAGATGAGCTCGATTTGAAACCATTCTTTGCTGAAAATTGTGTACAATAAGAACACTAGAAAATAAAAATAACATCTAACTTCCATACACATCTTTATTAACAAGATAGTTTTCATGTTCAAAAGAGTAATTAATCCTTCCACAAGCTCTAAACAAGCCAGCTCGCGAGCTTAGCTCAACAAGCCACCGAGTCAAGCTAGCTCACGAGCTTATCAAGCTGAGCATGGTCTATCTCAAGTTTGACTCTTTTACTAACGAGTCGAGTGTCGAACGAGTTTTATTTTATTCGAACGTCGAGTTGCTCGCTAGCGGCTTGGCTCATTTGCAGCCCTAGTATCGGTATCCAAATACCAAATACTGAAATCGCGTATAGCGAATTACACCCTAAAGTCAATCCCAATCCCAATCCCTAAATAATTTCGGTATCCCGATCGATACTTCGGTATCCAATCGGTATTATCGAATATGAAATTAATTATCTTTGTAATTAATAATTAAATATAAATAGTATATTTGATTTGATTGTTTAATTTAGGGCAAAGAGACTAAACAAAGAGTCTTGAGTTTGCTTAGAACTAGGATGAGAGATGACTAATACTAGTGTTTGTATTTTGGTGTTGTGAAAATGACAAGAGATTAGGTGAGAAACAAGAGTTACTTAAACTGGAAAGTCAAAATTGAGTTGGATTGGAGCATCTAAGTTGTGAAAGAGTGAGGAATGACAAAAGATTGTGTGCTATATTTCATTAATTTTTAAAGTTCGATATTTCTCCGTATTTCAATAATACCAATCCGAATACCGAATAGCACTCCAAAAAATGAATCTCAATTCTAATCTCTAAAAAATAAGACGGTATTCGGTAATATATAAATTCTGTAAGCTATTCTGTATATATCCCAAATAGCCATAACCCTAACGCATTCCACATTCAACGACCAAATGGCGCATTTTCAATCAATATGATTTCAGACAAAGATCGAATTCTGCGCGAGTTGTAATTGTAAAGAAAGTTAATCGGTGGAGTTATCAAAATAGTGTAACAAACGTATTGCGAATAACCTCCTGAGCACAAAGCTAAAACACATACATGTTCCTCCTCTCTCATTTTCCCTTCTCTTCTCTCGGGATTTGCCTATCCTCTAAACGTCGAGATTCTGATACATTCATACAAAAAAAACTAGGACAACTTCCGCGGTTGTGAGAGACTCCCCACACCCAACATGTCCTGCGTTTCTCATAGTTGTTTCTTGTGAGGCTTCTTCTTCAGTTGCCTCCTGGGAATTGAGTTCTTCATGCCGACGAAGAAGAGCAACCCTCCGAACAGCGCCAAGTTCTGAGCATAAAAAATTATCAAATCATTGCCCATTAGATATGAAAATAAACGATTTCGATGACGAGAGATAGATAGATAGATAGATAGATAGATAAGAGGTGGTGGGATCCACGGACCTGAGTGAACTTGATGAAAATTGGGTTGAACTCCGGCTTGGTTGGATCATAGTTGTAGAAATCGTGCAATACGGGAACGAAAATGAGCTGGTGCAGAAGCTGTACAATCACAAGAAGATTGCTTCAGATTACAGAGGAGGGAATGCAACTGACTTTTTCCCCTTAACTCAGAGCAGCTAGACGCAGAGGACATACCAGAAGATAAGCGCCGAGAGAGCTTCCAAAGATGAAAAGGATGCCACCGACTCCTTTCATGGCCACAGCAGCTGCAACTGCAGCCTTAATCTGTAAATGCCAACTTGCAGCAGTCAAAACCAAAATACCAACATGAAGTTCAAACAGTAAACATATCAAGCGCTTACCAAAAAGAAGTAAACATATCAAGTTGCACAGAGTTAAAGGGGTTAATAAGTACCTCTATTTCAGGAATTTCAAAGCCTGTTTGCACCGCCACATGCTTTGAGAAGACTTGCAGCTTAGGCGCCAAAGTCTTTGCTGCAATCCCTCCATCAGTGCCATAATCATTGAACCTGCAATAAAGATACAAATTAGTCATTGTCTAACAAACTTGGAGGTGCACCAGTAGTTGCGAAGATAAACTGCTCACAGCAGTATCCACCAAATTACAAGCACAGTCACAGATGAAGTTGGAGCAGAGTAGACGCAACCATCGAAAATCGTAGTTCACAAGTTCTTAGATCCGACTAAAGCATCACCACTAAAACACTAGTCTTAAACGATTCAATTAGTAATCGTCCACTTCGCCACTCAAGCACATAACAGCAGTATCAAGGTAGCAACACCAGACCTTAGTACCTTACCAAATCCCAACCACTGCCTAACGGCAGAGACATGATAACATTGACCTTTCATTTGACCACACAGAAGGGACAGAGCGAGCTAAAAGCGTAGTAAAAACAAACTCATTCCATATTAAACAGTAGAATTCATACATGAATCGGAAATCATACTCAGCAAATCGACATCAAGGCCGACAGAATCCAACTACCAGCCCCAAAGGAGTTGACTATAAACGGCATTCGCTCAGCACGGGATCATGATAAGGAATTGGCCATTTCAAGATCTGCGTCAGTTTTGGCTACTAAGCAAAAACGCAGGACTAAGCGATTCTGATTCTGAAAAACTCGAAATCCACGAATCTGAAAATACAGCAGACGAAATTCCAAGCGTTCATGTTCAGGAGAAGGAACAAGGCACAAAGGAAAAACCGTCAAAAACTACTCAATCCTCTACTAAGAACTGCGCTGGAAACTGGAATCCACCGCATCGGGAATTCAGAGCTCTTCTAGTCTCTCTCGCTCTCTCTCTCTTAAGTCCTCTCTCTACCGAAGCACATGAGTAAAGCAGAGAATACATAACGCAAGGAAAATAGCAGATCTGTAATTAGTAGGAGGGCGCTTACTCTTGCCAGGCAGAGAAGATGAAGATGGAAGCGAAGAGTACTCGGCCGAAGAAGGAAAAGAAACCCATCTTTTCCGGTGATGAGAGTAGCCGCCGCGACCGAGCCTCCTTCCCGACGAATCTGTGCTGGGAGCTGCCTGAAACAAAGTCAAGACAGAATGGGAGACGAAGGACGGGAGAATCAGAGAGGAGGCGACGTTTAAATATATATAAAAAAAATAATAAAGAAAAGGCGGAGGACGGAGGGAAGAGTGTGGACTGTGGAGACGGACAATTTACGAAAGCAGTGGAAAAAATTTGAAAATTCTTTTAAATTTTAATAATTTATTATTATTTTGCCTTTATCCGCCTTGGGCGCGTAATAAAAAATGTCGGGCGGCTGGCTGTGCAAGTGAACTAGGACGTGCTCCGCGGTGTCGACAGCTTGGCACTTGGATCTCTGGATAGAAAAAGGGAACACGTCGATCCGCCAATCAGATCTACCGCAGGTGACACGCGTCGGAAGGATACGGCGCGTGTAGGGTATTCATTTGCTGACGAGAGTGGGGCTTTTTTCTCCTTTTTACGGGTTTGGTGCTTTTTGGAAATCCACCGTGGCTTTAGCGCGTGTTACGCACTTTGTGCCTCGAGACTTGTGCCCCTTCTTCCTTCTCAGTCCGGCAGTCCCGTCTTTAATTATTTTCCCCCGTTAATACTGAGTTTGACTGTTGTCGAAGTTAAAAAGGGCTTAAAACCGGCAAGTCGGCAACACGTCAAATAAACGGAGAGCGGTAATATACTTCTTCAGAGGAGTTAGCTTGATTATCCTTTACACTCTGTTTGGCAACAAGGAGCGCAAATTTGAGGGGATACAAATTGAGGTGCAAATTATAGGAGGGAGCAAATTTGAAGAAGGTGTAAATTGGGGTGCAAATGGTTGTTTGGGAGAAAAAGTATGAGGGTGCAAATAGAAGGGTATGTTTAATTAATAATATTTTATTAGTCAAATAATACAAAAATAAAAGAGTAATTATTTGTTTATTTTCCCATCGTTTATCTCTACCCTTTCTCCGCATTAACCTTTCCTCCCAATTAGGGATGGCAACAAAACCCGAACCCACGGGTACCCACCCGACCCAACCCGGTCAACGCGGGTAAAATTCGTGTTGATGGGTTTTGGGCCGGGTTTGGGTTTAAACCCGTTCACTATTCACCGGGTTGGGTTGGGTTTGGGTTTAGGTAAACCCGGCCCGTGGGTACCCGCCCACTCATATAATTAATTTTTTCGGTATATTTAATATTCTAAACAACTATTCTTATTTATGTTTGTGGAGACATGTCTAATTTTTTCTTTTTAATTGTGTAGAATGAAGTTGATGTTATGGAGTGGAGACTAAAGAAACTTAATTGAAAAAAAGAAGCTTTCAATTAAACATGTTATTTATGGATAATTTGTGATTTGCTTCAATTTTCATGAGCTTTCTAGATTGGTGTTGAACAATTTGCATAGTTAATTTGTGATTTGTTTGAATTTTCCTAGAATGGTGTTTTATATATGGATAATTTATATTGAGAGATTGATATTTGACTTTAATTTTGATAAGAACTTGTAATTGTAAAATTTTTTACGACAAAACCCATGGGTACCCATGAACCCGCGGATACCCAACGGGTTGGGTTGGGTTTGAGTTTTTCAAACCCGGTGGGTTTTACCCCGGGTTTTTTTCAAAGATAAACCCATGGGTTTGGGTTTGGGTTTGGCAAAACCCGACCCAACCCGACCCATTGCCATCCCTACTCCCAATTCATTCTTCCTTTTCTCTCTCACTAATTTCCTTCTTGAAAAAATTAAACAGAAGACCAAATCCATTAATTTCCTTCTCTCTCTCATTAATTTCCTCCCCATCTTCTTCATCTCTCCAGCCTTTCCATCTTCCTTCTCTGTTTTCTCCGACACTCTTTCTTCCTCTCTCTATCTCATCAATCCAATCTCTCAAGCACTCCGACCGCCGCGATCGATCTTCCCACAACTCCGTCGATCTTTCTTAGGGCGAGATCAGAATAGTGACGATGAGTAGGGCGGGAGATCGGAAGCCGCCTGCGAGAGGAGATAGAGGATCTGAATCCTAGATCCATGTAAGTTTTGGGCATGCATGTTGTTGTTTGGGTTAATTCTCTGATTTTTGGTATCAATTGACTGCTTTTCTTGATTCTGGCTTATGGATTCTGTATTTTAGGTGTTACCAGCGGCGGTGTGGGTTTCTTTCTCATCGGAGACGAAATCACCTGCGGCAGATTTGACGGAGGAAAGAGATAGAATAAAAAAATCATGGAAAAAAAATCGTTCAGTTTTTTTTTTTTTTGTAATTCGTTCAGGCTTTTCTCTCTCCGCTTCCGCCCCAATTTGGGGGGCACACTAGAACAGTAGAATTGCCCCTCCAATCATCCGCCCCCCTACTGTTACAAAGTTTTCCAAACAGGTGCAAATTTATCGGGAATGGCATTTACCCCTGAAATTAACTCCCCCCACGTTTACGCCTCTATCCAAACAGAGTGTTAGGGGTCGTTTGGATGTGGAAATTTGAAAACGTTGGAATTTGTCTGAATTTCCATGTTTTACAAAACCAAGGAATTGACTTGTGGAAATTGAAAAAAGTTCACGTTTGGATAGAGTTTAGTTTTGTGGGAATTGATGGTGTGGAATTTGAAAAAAAAAGTGAGAAAACGTGGTAATGTCAAATTACTAGGGGGAGGTGTAGTATTCTCAATTACCATGAATGTGGTAATCCACATCCAAAATATTGGAAGAATAATCTCTTTTATTAATTATAGTTATTAGACTATTAAATTTGTGTTGCATTTAACGATTTTAAGAATAAAAAACTCATATCAATATAGGTATAGGATGAGTTTGTAAAACCTTCCACCGCATGGGTTTGGATAGGTAAAAGTTTGGATATTTAGAAATAAGGATGGGGTTGTTGACATCCTTAGAAAACACGCTATTTATGATTTGAACAAGAAGCTTCTTCTTTATTTCTTCAATTTGAATAAACAAATATGCAACACAAGCGAATTGAAGAATCCTAATCCCATATTTCAAACATGCAATTGAATCCCATTGGGTGTAGGATGGCAATTTTACTCATACCCATGGGTATTTTACTATCCAACCCAATTGGGTTGGGTATGAAATCCAAATAGATGGATATAGATAGAGTTTGATGGGTTTGTACCCATACCCATTTACTTGGGTTGGGTTGGGTTTTTAACAAATGAATTTGGGTTTGTACCCATGCCCAAATGCAAATTACAGTTTGGTACCTAAAAATCTAAAATTAATAGATATACATATTTGGTATCTAAAATTAATTTTCTTTGCATATAAGTCCCCAAAATATCGATTGAAAATTACATTTTGGTACATAAAAATTTTTGGTCTTACATTTTGGTACCTAAAATTTTCAATTTTTACAAATAGATCCAATTTTGATATGTGTAGTTAAAGCACACTCAAGTAAATGGATATCTATATCCAACCCATATCCATTTAGATTATGGAAGCAATATACATACCAATACCCAATTTATCTACAAACCCTCAAACCCATATACATTTCACCCATACCCAACCAATTATCAACCCATTATCAATTGGTCTACTTGGGTTTGGATATAATTACCCATGGGTGGGTAATTGCCATCCCTAATTGGGTGAATCACACGCATCTACCCTAAACTCATATGCCATTGTCCGAATCACACTCATATACCCTAAACCCAGATCTCCCTGCCTCTACAATTCACGAGCTAAGGTTTGCAATTCGACTCCAATCCTCTCCTTCTATCTCGCCTTCTTGATTGACATGGGGGAAGAAGTGAGTGGGCTTAGAGCTAGAGGGAGTGAGTGACAGTGCTGGCTTATGGGATTGAGCTTTCGATGACAGATGGATGCCACACCATTTTTAGTTAAAATACAATTTTAAACAAAAACAAAATATGTCTTCTCACAAACTCTACACTCCGTAAAACAAAAGAAGATCAACAATTCCATACGCAACCTCCAACAGCCCCAATTCCATCTAAAGCTCTCACCACCCACCTGCCTTCGGCATTGTCTTCAGATGAAACTCGTTGAACTGCCAGTGAGAGCAATTGATGATGCCGGGGGGACGAAGCAATTGTTGATCTTCGTCTCTTCAACGGGAGGTTCGAAATCCTGAGACCAAAACCCAAAAATTCAGAAACCCAGAGACACAAGTCCAAAAATCCCAACTAAGAACCTTCGTCTTTGCCCTCCAATCAACCCGTCGCTTCCTGGGAGCGTAGTCGGTGTTTTCTCCCTATCGATTCATCTTCTTCATAGTGATCTCCGCCCGATTTTTTGAATGGCGGTGGCTGCTACTTCCTCTCCACCGCCCTAGTCCCCCCTAATTCAACACCACTCAAAAACTCATCTCCACTTCCTCTTCCCCCGCTGGGACTCGCATCTTCCACTGCATCTAGTCATCTACTGCACATGTCCTCTTTTTTTCAATTAATTGATAAGGAAGAAAATTGAGCCCATGCTCAAAGCCATCTATTGCCTCCGATTTCCTGGCCGAGAGAATCGAGCAACCCACAAAAAATTCCTCAAATTTGAAATTCAAATCCCACTGATGCATAAAATCAATGACGAGAGGAGATAGTTTTGGTGAGCGAAGCGAGTAATGGAGGTCGGCTGGGTGGAATCGAAATGAATAATCAAGGAGTTGGATTCGAGTCCTTCATTTGGGGTTTTTCCTGTCGAGGAGCATGACAGTGGAGGAGTTTCGAGGAATGAAGGCAAGGATGGCTGAATTTTGGTCGAGGAAGAAGAGGGATATGTAGTAGGGTTGAAGAAGAGGATCTGAGATGGTGGTGGAGGTGAGAATGAGGGCGGAGGACGATCAAAAGGGAGGGTAGGTTGGGAGTGAGAGAAGATGTTTTATATTTTTTATTTTTTGCTTGGGAGTGCTCACCACGTCAGCATCTCATTTTGTCTAGTTAGACTTAACACTAACACCATTAAAAAATTTGACGGAAGTGGCTATAAGTGGTAGTTCTTCAAAATCGACTATTATTGTTACTAATGTGAAAGATTGACTATACAAATATATTTTGCCAAAAGTTAACTATAACTATTTTATTGAAAAGTTCGGATCAAAACTGTCATTTAAACGAAATTTCGAGCCAAACTAAAGTGTTAACATTTTTTTATCCAATTTGGTAACTAAATCCCACATAGAACTTTTGATTCAATTGTGAATGGACCCATTAGCCCCCATGGGGTCTGG